TACTGCTACGAGTTTGTATATGAAATGTCGCTATGATATGTTGCGAATAAGATGAGTGTTTTTATTACCATCTAACATTGCATGGGGAAAATAATAATAATAATAATAAGTCTTAAGTGCGTTTTGTTTGAGTTTTTTGGATTAAGTTTTTTGAAAATTGAATTTTTTAGTTTTTGTATTTTGTTGTTTTTAGTGAATATTTTTAAAATTTTAAACATTTTTTTTTTAAATTTTTTAGATGCACGTTACTTAGATGTATTTAAAAAAGAAAAAATATTTTAAAAAATTAATAAAGACATAAAAATATAAAAAATGTATTAAATTTTTGTATTTTTTTGTATTTATTGAATTTTTAAAAGATTTTTTTCATAAATTTTTTACTTTTTAGACATATTTATGTTAGGTATATCTAAAAAGTAAAAAAAAAATATTTAAAATATTAAAAAAATTCAGTAAAAATAAAAAAATAAAAAAAACAAGAAAAAAGAATTTTTAAAAAAATATTTTTTTGAAAAACCTAACCAAGCAAGCTATAAAAGTATGTAGTATGTTAAATTTAGAAAGTCAGCAATGAACAAAACCCATCCATAACCTCCCTAGGGGTTGCAATTTCAATAGGACTGGAAGTTCAGGGGACACGCCGGGCACAACAAATCATTCGACTCATTTGGATTGAAGGGTTAATTATTCAATAGTCAGAATTTATGTAATACACTTAATCAATAACTTAGTAAAAAAATTATAAACGAAACAATATTAAAGAGTTGTTTGGGATGACCTAAATAAGTGTATTTTTTATCTTTTTATGAAAAGATGTGCAAAAAAGTAGAGAGGTGATGTGATAGAAAAAAGATAAAAAGATAGATTATTAGAGAATAAAGCTTTGGACCCCTAGTGGGGTACTGGGGGTCCCTTCCCATTGGTCAAAAAAAACAAAACAATTTTTTTTTTTTTTTTGAGTTTCCAGCCACCCCTAGGCCGACACGTGGCACTGGGGTCACCCCAACTGGGGGTCTGTAGCATTACTGTTATTTGAGGTATGCCAAACTTGACCTAACTCATATTTGTTAAGTAATTGAGATATAATAAATGACTCACCTAATATATTTTGACATTCTTCATTTGACGGAAGTTTTAAATAACTAATGTCATATGTTATTTCAAGAAAATTAAAACTAAAAAAAAATTGAATTGAAGATTAGATTGAAAAATTTCCGGGTTCACCTTGGGAAGGAGATAATTTGCTTGAAAGTTGTTTCATCCATGTAATTATGCAAAACTAAAACTCCGAGTTAGTAAATTCGAATTAAGAAACTAACGGTCCATTTACGCACATACACAAAAATAAATAAATAAAAATAATACGGGATTTTTTTTAAACGTGTTCAAAAGTTTTCCACCGTTGGATTTCATCTGTGTGAATATTATATTTTGAATCCAACGGTTGCGAGAGTTTGCACTCCTGTCACGGCATGTATCAACTTTTACTGTGGCTGGTGATCCAACGAAATCATGTGTGGTCTCTCCAGCCAAAAATTATCGGGTGCTCTCGAAGCACTCAATATTCGTTCCAGCGAGACCCTCGTTGGCCCCCACAATCTCAATACACACACACGCGCACACACACTCTCTCTCTCTCTGTCTCTCACATTGTCTTCCTCTATCTGAAGCTAACCACAACAGTAATAACGCACACCTCACGGTTCTCTCACCTCACACAAACACACCATTATCGACAGTTGAGAATGGTGGCAAGTTCTAATCTTTAGCTTAGTCCTCCCTCTTAATGCCGTCTCCATAACACTTTGTCTCTCTCTCTCTCTCTCTCTCTCTTTCTCTCTCTATCCATATATATATATACGTTGATCTTATCTGGGTTCTGCATTTCTTGAGTAGTAACCATGCCGGGTCTAGTTTCAGTCAAAACGCCACCGGAAGCTCCGCCGCTCCGAATCGCAGTTCCCGATGAAAACAACCACCAGATCCGAACCAATTCCGACCGATCCGAACCCATAAACCCCAAAACAACATCGCCGATCCCTCGCCGTCCTCCCTCTCCTTCCCCATCAACTTCTCGGGCCAAGCCATCTCCAGATCGGAGCTCCGGCAAGAAAAAATCGCCTGAAAAACCGCTCATCGACGAGTCCTCGCTCGACAACCCAGATCTCGGCCCATTCCTCCTAAAACTCGCGCGCGACACAATCGCGTCCGGCGATGGGCCGAGCAAGGCGTTGGACTACGCGCTCCGAGCTTCGAAATCGTTCGAGCGCTGCACCGTCGATGGCGAGCCGAGCTTGGATCTGGCGATGAGCTTGCACGTCGTCGCGGCGATTTATTGTAGTTTGGGAAGGTTTGAGGAGGCGATTCCAGTGCTCGAGAGAGCAATTAGCGTTCCTACAGTGTCTAGAGGTGCAGATCATGCTCTCGCGGCATTTTCAGGGTATATGCAGCTCGGCGACACGCATTCAATGCTTGGGCAGCTGGATCGATCGATCGATTG